GGAGCCCCCATCTCCCACTGTCAGCGCAGGGATCTTTCTTCCTTGGTCTATAACTTTTATATTTTATGTAGTGTTGTGTGCTTCCAAAAACGTTTTCAGTTAACTTATTTTATGTAAGTTTCATAACTACCCTCTTAGGAAGGTGGTATCACCCTCATTTTACAGACTTAAAGTTATTTTGGATTTTTTAGCTTCTGAACTGAAGTCTAGACTGCAGTATGCTAATGAAACTCTGTCTTAGTGGTGCTTCCTGATTTTTTTTTTTTTAATTTATCTTACTTGTGTGCATTCTTGACTAGTCAGTGCTCTCCTGATCCAGTGTCTGGAAAACAAGTTATTCCTGATTCCCGCTCTCTCAAGGGTCTTTTCTTTTTTTTTTTTTAATTTTTTTCTTTTTTCTTTGTGTGTGTGTGTGTGTGTGTGTGTGTGTGTGTGTGTGTGGCTTAAAATAACAACAAGTATTTATTATTGCTCACAGTTTCTGTGGGACAGGAGATAGGTGGTTCTGACTCAGCCACAGTTGCATATTGGTGGGGACTTTGTCATATGAAGGCTTAAAGGGCTTGGAGGATCCAGTGCAACATGACTCACCTACACAACTGGCAAGTGGGTGCTGGCTGTTGATGGGAGGCCTCAGGTCCTCTCCATCCAGGTGGCTACACAGGGCTTCTTGAGTGTCTTTGTGACATGGTGGCTGCTGTCCCCCACAGTGAGCAATCTGAGAGGGCAAGGCAGAAGGGCACTGTCATTTATGATGGAAGTCACACACCATCACTTCTGCAATGTTCTACTAATCAGCAAGGGTCTTCTCAGTGGAGGCTTGTGGAAGCAGGGCCCCTTCAGCCTCCAGGAGGACTGACTCTCATACTCGAATTCTCTCTGCTTCACTCTGCTCAGAATGCCTCAGCATGAGTGGCCCCACCCGTGTGGACCAGTTCAGACAAGCTGGCTGAGAAAGTAAGGAGCTTGGAAATCAAGGGGAGAGGGTTTTGCAGACTTGCGACCAATGTCCTCAGTTATTTAAAGGGCTGTGGTGTGGGGACTTCCCTGGTGGCACAGTGGTTAAGAATCCGCCTGCCAGTGTAGGGGACACGGGTTTGAGACCTGGTCAGGGAAGATCCCACATTACGCGGAGCAACTAAGCCCGTGCGCCACAACTACTGAGCCTGCGTGCCACAACTACTGAGCCCGCACACCTAGAGCCCGTGCTCCGCAACGAAGAGTAGCTCCCGCTTGCCGCAACTAGAGAAAGCCCGCGCACAGCAACCAAGACCCAACACAGCCAAAAAAAAAATTTTAATTAATTAATTAATTAAAAATAAAGGGCTGTGGTGTGAAAGAGGGGCCATGTTTTTTCTTGTGGGCAAAAGTGGATTTACCGTGAAGATAATGAGCTTTAAGCTTTAGAGCTCCTGACTTGTATGGGCCTCTTCCAAGACCCTGTATCTCACTCTACTTTCAATCTTTAAATCTGCCTTATTTCACTTAAGCCTCCCCTCCCCCCACCAATTGTATTAAATGATTTTCAGAACTAATAAAACCTGTATCTACCCCTTTCTGTGACTCCAGAGAGAGCAAACCAGGACCTAAAATAGGAGTGGAAATCTAGGGTGAGGATGTTAGTTCAATAGAGGAAACTCTTTCCATGGCCAGGACTGTTCCACCAAAAGTGGGTTATTCTAGTAGGCACTTTCGATACCTTACCCACAGCCATTCTTCCTAACAACACCCCCTGCTTCCTGCTAATACAACTTGGATCTGCTCAAGAAGTTAAGGGTGAGCCCTTAATCTCAGAGGGAGCAGGCCCTTCCCCAAACCCCAAGTGTGAATTATAATTGGTCTAAACCAGTTATGGTATTCTCTCTCCCTGTGGCCAGTGTGGGCAGGTAATCCCATTCTCATCAATGAGACAGGGCGTGGTGGGACTTCCTTCCCTGAATTAAAGACAAGCCTTCGCTGGGAATTCCCTGGCGGTCCAGTGGTTAAGACTCGGTGCTTTCACTGCCGTGGCATGGGTTTGATCCCCGGTCAGGGAACTAAGATCCCGCAAGCCTCGCAGCACAGCCAAAAAAAAAAAAAGCTTCGGGAAGAGAAGATCTTTTCCCCTTTCCCTTTCATTTCTGAAACTCAGATAGGGGAGCTGATGATACTGCAGCCCTCTTGTGGCCAGTAGGCTAGAAGCATAAAAACCAGAGTCAACATACTAAGGATGACAGAACAGAAAGAGTAACAGTTTAGGATCCTATTGGACTGTTGAGTTGAACCAATCTCTAGATTACTTATGTAAGAAAAATAGTCTACTTATTTTTTAAGCTACAGTTAATTGTATTCTCTATTTCTTGCAGCCAAGTGCATTATAACAATTCAGCTGTGTCCAAGGAGAGAGCCTTCTGTCTCTGGTAGAAGGCAGAGGGCTAATTCACCACAAAACAAGAATGTTGCAGAGGGTGTCTATGCCTGGGGGAGAGGATCGGGGGAGAGGATGAATTGTTAGGAGGAATAATCTTTCATGATTAGAGCACAAACAACCTCCTATGGCTTAGGCCCTTAGCTTGCATCCTCCAAGACTTCATATTTCCTTCAGCCTATAACCATATTTCTCAACCTATTTCTCTCACCCCACCCCACCCTTGACCGAGGTAGAAAAAAAGGATGGAGCAGAGGACTGTTCCTCTAAACGGGTGTGCTAGGCAACAATTTAGGACAGTGAAGCTGGTTTATAAGCATTGAGAGAAAATGCTTCCATTGTTGGTCAGTAAACAGGAAAAGTACAATACAGCTCTCAGCCCTGATAGACTCGGTGCGTGGCACTCAAGACCAGACAGTTCTCAAACAGGGTAACCTAACCCCAGGGAGACATGAAGGGTTTCCACGGGGTACATGGCCCAGAGAGTTGGTTTTTTGTTTTTGTTTTTTTAACTCTTTACTATGGAAAAAATTCAAACCTGTACATAAAATGGACAGAATAGTTTAATGTACTTATCACCCACCTTCACCCTGTGGCCCTTTATTGTTCCATCTATACATGAGCCACACTCCCCTACCCCTGTGTCAGCACCATTGTCATCACTGCTTTTTTTTTAATTGGAGTATAGTTGATTTACAGTGTTGTGTTAATTTCTGCTGTACAGCAAAGTGACTTAGTTATATATTCTTTTTCATATTCTTTTCCATGATGGTTTATCACAGGATGTTGAATATAGTTCCCTGTGCTCTGCAGTAGGACCTTGTTGTTTATCCATTCTGTATATAATAGTTTGCCTCTACTAATCCCAAATTCCCAGTCCAAGCTTCCCCCTCCCCCCTCCCCCTAGGCAACCACAAGTCTGTGAGTCTGTTTCTGCTTCGTAGATAAGTTCGTTTGTGTCATATTTTAGATTCCACATATAAGTGATATCATATGGTATTTGTCTCTGTCTGACTTACTTCACGTAGTATGAGAATCTCTAGTTGCATCCATGTTGCTGCAAATGGCGTGATTTCATTCTTTTTTATGGCCGAGTCATTGCTTTTTTATGGAGCTATATTTCAGAGATGAGCACGCGCAGTTCCTCTCACCCCTGTACATCCGTGCTGCTCCTCCCACGAGAAAGTGATGAAAATGTCTATAATTAAGATTGTAGTGATGGCTGCACGACTTTGTAAATACGCAAAAATCGTTTAAGTGTACACTTTAAATGGGGGAATCACATCTCAATAAAGCTATTTTTAAAAAGTAGAGAAAGAAAACTTCTCTAATACTATTAAAAGAAAAAAAAAATAGAGGTGGAATCTTGTTTCCGTCCCTTTTGAAAGGGGTCTGGCCTTCTGACTCGCTTTAATCAGTAACCCGCAACAGAAGTGACAGCGTATGACTTCTGGGCGTTGCCCTTACAGGCCTTAGAAGCTTCAGTTCTCACTCTTTGAGGGGCTCCAGCCACTTCAACTGCCCTACTCCAGACGCCCAAGAGAACTCAGCTGCTGCTGCTAAGAGCCACCCCAGCTGAGATGCCACACGGACGGAGTGAAGGCCTTTGGGCAACCCCAGCTCCTGTGGCACCGCAGCCCCCAGCTGTGTCTCCCCAGACGATGGAGAGGGCTTGGGGTGGTGCGGGTTCAAAGGGGCAGCGCCAAACCCTAGGAAGGGCCCTTCTGCTTTCAGCCAGCAGGTCCTCCACTGAAGCCCTCGGAGCTTTGCCCAGGGCCCCGAAGCCCCTTCAGCTCGGCCCTGTCCTCTCTGACTTGTCGTCTCGGTCCCCCACGGCCCTTCCCTCTGCCCCCGCCCCCAGGCACCTCGCTCAACCGAGCAGGCCGGGCCCAGCAGGGGCGCGCCTTCACCTCCTTCAGGCCCTTCACTCCAAGGAGACAGACCTTCCTCCTTCCCTACGGGTCTGTGTAAGACCACCAGTCCTCACTCTGTCCCTGTCCCCCTTCTAGCTTTCTCTTTGTCATTTAGCAGGGCCTAACCCTAGTGCCCAACTCTAACCACGGATACTAATAGGTGGTACTGAATCTTACTAACTGATGTCACTTACTTTCTGTCTCTCCTGTCAGCTCGGAAGGCGCATGAGGTCTCTTCGTGTGTCCTGTTTATTATCCATCGTATCTCCGCTGCCCAGTACACACCCTGGCCCATCGCGGACACTGACCTGAATTCTCTGTAAGGAGAAAGGATGCAACGTTCTCCGTTAAATAGAAATCTCCTATTTCCCGTCCGCTTTCTTACCGTTCTTCATGCATCTGTTCACCGTCTCTGTCCCCACTAGAATACAGCTGGGCAGTAAATATTTGCCACGTGAATTAACATGTTGAAGGACTCCCGGGTACCGGCCTCCGGCAGAGCCGCTTTAAACCAGCCGCCAGAGCTCCGGCCGGGTCGGCATCGCCGCTTTAACCCGAGCATCTCCCCGCCCCGCAACTTCCGGGGCGGTGTCGTTGCCCATTTAAGAGCGGCGTTCCCCGCCCTCGGGGCGGAGCTTAGGGGCTCTAAGGGGCGGGCCGGCGGCCGGGGTCTGCGGGGATTAGTGCGGTGGGCGCGCCTCTGGCCGCCATTTCTCGGCGTCTCCCCGGAGCCGACCCCTGGCGCTTCGCGTGGGTCTCTCTCCCCTCTCGTGGCTGCGGGTGGTCGCCGCCAGGTAAGCGCGCCGCCCTCCCGGCTCCTCACGCCCTCCTCGCCGGCGCCGGGGCTGCGGCCTCGCCCGGGACCCTTGGGCCGCCCGGCGCGAGGGGCGGGCGGGCGGCGGCCGAAGGGCCGGGCGCGGAGGGAGGGAGGCCGGGCCGGGCCGGGCCGGGTGTCCACCTGCGGGCGGACGTGGCCGCTCGGGGACGCACCGAGGGCCCGTCGCGACCGCGCTGGGCTGAGGCGCTCCGGGGGCGGACCGGCAGGTGTCCCGGGGTGGGGGTGGGGGTGGGGAAGGGGGCTCCGGGGACCCCCGCCCCCCACCTCGCGGCCGGCCCGGACGCCGGGCTCCGGGGGGGTCGGCTTTGGTGGTACCTGCCCTTACGGTTCTGCCGTCAGGGCAACCACACCCGACTCTTTTGGACCGTTTGGCAGCATTTTAAGTGGATATTACATGTTTTTTCCAGAATTGGGGGAAGGCTTCCCGTCGCTCCGTTGCTGTCCTACTGACACAGTGGATGGTTTCACAGGCGCTGGTTGGCAGGGTTTTCTCGTTCTTTAGAAAACGACCTGTTTGCTCCGTCTGCTGAAGGCCTTCCTTGCAGACGCTCTCTGTGCTGGGATCACTGGGAGGGAGGGTGTCAGTCCCCTGGTGGTGGTGAGTAAGCCTGACCCTGGTCAACTAGGGTTTGTGCTGAGCCAGAAAGCCGGTGCGGGAGCCGGCGCGTAGGGAAGGAAGCGTCCCGGGAGCGCTCCTTACCAGCTGCAAGCGGGCGCTCTTTCCTTGGTGGGGAGCAGTTGCCGACCTTGGACTGTGGCCATCGCTCACGTAGCAGAGTGTACACGAATCACGGCAGACTTTTGAGTTTTAGGTGTGTATTTAAAAAAACCAAAACTTCAGTTAGGTGGTAAACGGACGACTTGAGTTTGCATGTTTCCGATTGTAAAGGAAGCCCGCGTTAGTTCACAGCTGAGAAGTTAGACGTGATGGATTCAAAACTACTGTGTAAGAAATAGGCAAAACCCTACCACCCCGAAATCCCGTTGTATTATTTCGGACAAGCTCTTTACACAGCGCCTGATGCGCGTATTGCCGTGCTGGCTGGGCCGCCGTGGGGAGCGAGTCGGACTGGCTCCCTGTCCTTGTGTGTGGCTTAGTGGGGGAAACACCTAGTAAAATGGACAGACGGCGTGGCATTTAATTGCAGGTCCCTCGAGTGTTATAAAGAGCGGACTAGGGCTGCTGCAAGGAGACCCAACTCAGGCGGCACGGGATGCTTTTCTGAGGAAGAGACACTTCCAAGCAGCCGTGTGAAGGTGGCTGTGCGAAGTAGGAGAGGGTCGGGGAGCTGGCGTGGAGAGGGCACCCAGAAAGCCGGAACAGCTGGGGGAAAGGCTGCACTTTCGGGCTGAGTGGAAGCCTGACCCGAGCGGGGCGAGCGCGAGGGTGGGCGCCTGAGGGTCCCGGCGGCGGGGAGCGAGGCCGGTAACGCTGGGTCCTTCACAGGGGTTGGCGGGGTGGCCGCTCAGAATCCGCTGTTGCGGCTCGAAGGAGGGGGCTGGGGAGGGTGGACGTGGGAGAACGGGTCGGCAATACATTTATCAAACTTCGGACGTGTTCGTATGTTGGTATTATGCAAGAACTGAGAACCTCCACAGGACCCTCTCCAGAGATAACCTTGCTTAAGTGTACATATCCTCGTGCTTTTGTGTGTGGACAAGGTGTAAGAATATGTATATGTGTGCGCCCCACCCCAGTGTGGAGTAAACTATGCTCCTTTTTCTGATTTCATTTTTCACTTGTAGATTTTGTCAGTGTCTTTGTCAACTGTACTTTAAAAACAACTGTCATATGCCATTGTATGAACCACCATTTAACTACTTGCATGTTGATAGAGGTATTTAAAACCGTCTTAATCATGCCCTGAAAATTCTTGTTTCCGTAACTTGGAGCACATATGGGACATTCCTTTAGGCTGTGCTACTAGACATAGGACTGCTGGGTGAAAGGGTGCGCACATTAACACTTCTCATGTGCGCTGACTTCTTCCTCCAGGGGACGTGGTGTGAGAGTGGCTGTTGTTCACATACCCTTTGCAGTACTGGGTATCGAGGGTCTTTTAAATGATAGACAGTATCCTAGTTTTTTAATTTGGATTTGCTTGGTTACTGGTGAGGTTGAACATCTTTGTGATGAATATATATATATTTTTTTCTTGCGGTACGCGGGCCTCTCACTGTTGTGGCCTCTCCCGTTGCGGAGCACAGGCTCCGGACGCGCAGGCTCAGCGGCCATGGCTCACGGGCACAGCCGCTCCACGGCATGTGGGATCCTCCCGGACCGGGGCACGAACCCGTGTCCCCTGCATCGGCAGGCGGACTCCCAACCACTGCGCCACCAGGGAAGCCCTGTAATGAGTATTTTTATTGCACGTCATCTTTGAGACCTTGTTTCTTCATATCTTGTCTATTCTTTCTCTTCTGGGTTGTTTATCTTCACAATTTGTGATAGTTCTTTATTAAACTGCCTATTAATCCTTCAAGAATTTTTTTGCGGAATTTCACCCTAATATTTGTTGTTTTCTAGTGCTCATTTCTTTTACTTCTTTAGTCCATCTGAAATTTGTTTTCATGTAAGTGCTTTCATATTCTTTTATAAAAGAACCTGTTATTTGTGGCATGGAGTTTCATAGTTCAAAGTACATAGTTATTAAAATTATAAATAAGAAGGAAGTTGTGTTTTTCCTTAGCAGGTTAATTCTGCTTGTGTGGTGAGTCTATTTTTTTTAATTAATTAATTTTTGGCTACGTTGGGTCTTCGTTGCTGCGCGCAGGCTTTCTCTGGTTGCGGTGAGCGGGGCTACTTCTCCTTGCAGTGTGCGGGCTTCTCATTGTGGTGGCTTCTTTTGTTGTGGAGCACGGGCTCGAGGCGCGTGGGCTTCAGTAGTTGTGGCACATGGGCTCAGTAGTTGTGGCTCGTGGGCTCTAGAGAGCAGGCTCAGTAGTTGTGGCGCACGGGCTTAGTTGCTCCCCAGGGCTTGAACCCGTGTCCCCTGCGTTGGCAGGTGGATTCTTAACCACTGCGCCACCAGGGAAGTTCAGTGAGTCTATTTTTAAGGTGTAGGGTGTGGTGAAAGAAAACTTGTTTTATAATTCATGTACTTCCTAGGAACCATAAAGTTGTATTTCACTTTGAACTTTTTTTCCCTTAGAGAAAACTTTTTTGTTATGGAAAAATTCAGCATATACAGAAGTAGTCAGAAGAATATAATTAGCCTTCATGTACCCATCAGCCTCAACAGTTGTTGGCCAGTTAGTTATCTGGCCAATTTGTGTCCTCTCTCTTCCCGCTTAACTGCCTTCCTTGTATTATTTTGAGGCGAATACTAGACATCACATCATTCTTCTATAAATTTTTCAGGATGTATTTTTAAAAGATAAAGACTTTCTTTTTAAAACGTATCTTTAAAACCACTGTTATATCCAAAAGAAAGTTGGCAGTACTTCCTTGATTATCATAAACAGTCCAGTTAGTGTTCAGATGTGTGTGTGTGTAGTTGTGTCCTTAGGAAGTTCCGATGACAGCTATCATGGTTTTGCCAGTTTATCTGATTACATAGGAGTATGTGTACTTGTAAAATGAGGCTGTAATTCTCAATTGATAGCTACTGAATTTTTTTAAAATGTTATTTATTTTAACACTTCAGCTTTTATTTTTATCATGTTTACAAATGCATCTGTCTAGTTTACAGCATCAGCTGGTTATGCTAGACTTCTTATAAATTACATGTATAATAACAAATGCGTGACTTGAGAAAATATTTTAGTTTGAAATAATTTTAGATTTATGCTGAAGTTACAGTAGTACAGAGTTCCCATATACTTTTCACCTAGCTTCCCTCAATGATAACATCTGACAACCTAAAAGAATTTTTAGTTGAATTAGGATCTAAAAGTAGGCCCACACGTGGTGATTTTTTGATATGTTTCAAGTCTCTTTGAATCTGCAATTTCCTTTGCCACTCTTTTTTTTTTTACCCCTTTGCAATTTATTTCTTGAATATGCTGAATTAAGTTTTAAGAAACAAATTCATCGTGTGTGATTTATGTCAGACAAACGGTGTACACCGTATGTCTGACATAAATTTATGATTTATGTTGTATCTTCATTCAGCATCTTTTTAGCTGTGATCTTTGATAATTTCTTTCTTATCTGTATAATGTGAGTTTTGCATGAATAGTCCTATGATGTAGTAGAAAGACCAAGATTTGGAGTCAGAAAATCAGAATTTGAGCCCCTGTCTTCAGTATTTACTAAATAATGGACTTGGTCAGTGGTTTAATTTCTGTGACCCTTCGTTTGCTTATCAAAATAAGACAATATTATTTGGGGAGTTTTTCTGAGTACCCAGTAAGATTATTTACTGAACGTTTGTTGTACCTGATGATGAAATGTGCTGGGTGGCTACCTGTTCAAAGTAGGAATTGTGTCCTCAAGGAGCTTACAGTAGGGACCTCCCTGGTGGTCCAGTGAAGAAGGCCCCACGCTCCCAACGCAGGGGGCTTGGGTTTGATCTCTGGTTGGGGAACTGGATCCCCGTGTGCATGCTGCAGCTAAGACCCGGCACAGCTAAGTAAATAAATAAATAAAAATAAATAAATGAATAAGTAAGTAAATTTTTAAAAAATTTAAAAAAAGGAGCTTACAATAAAGGAGATGGACATGTAAATGAATAATTAAAATCTGATTAGTGAGGCAGCAAAACATTTTGAAGGTTCAGTGAAAGTGTGATGATGGGAGTGACTGACTCTTTAGATGTCAGAATATTCCTCAGGGGAGGGTTAGGGGGAGTTAACAGGAGTTAGGAGGGGTTCTCTGACATAGGGCGTTAGAAGTCTGCGGTGACAAGTGCGACCTTTGACAGGCCGCTGAAATGAGACTGACCAGCAAGGTGCAAAGGGAGCAATGCCTGAAAAGAAACCTGGGGAGAAGGAGACTGGGGCCACACGTTACGTATGAGGGCTTTGTAAACTGAAAAGCTATCTGAAATTTTATAGTAATTTATAAATTACTATTAAATTTATAGAAATTTCATAGTAAAATTACAAAAATAATCATCTATTTCAAATATAATTCAAATGTAAGTTTTTATCAAATATTTTATTACAGATTTTAAATTGCTACTTAATAATAGCTAATCTGGTCAGAGAAGAAATGGAACTTCTTAGGATGGTTGTTATTATCAAAGGGCACCTTAGCGTATGGCATCGTCTCCTAATGTTTGTAGGGGTATTTGGCTGTTGTACATATAAATTACTGGCCCAAAAGACCTGTTGAACTTCATAAATGTTTGCCCTTCTCTTACCAGATTAGCTCCTTACAAAAAAGTCCAGAAAGTTTAGGAGTGCTGTGAGCCGTAGCCCTATTTTAGGTTAAGGTCTTTAAAAACTCAACTGAAGTAGCCAGTATTAATAATATTTTTTTCAAATTTACTTGACCAGATGCTCTTTTAATAACGCATCTCCTAGTGTCCACAGAACTTTACTAAATTACACCGTTTGTCTGACAGCCAGTTGCGGGAGACCTCTGACACCTTTTCCTGTCTTTTGCAGTGACAAAATGCTGAGCTTCTTCCGCAGAACGCTCGGCCGCCGGTCGATGCGCAGACAGGCCGAGAGGGACCGGCTCCGCGAGGCCCAGCGTGCAGCCATGCACATCCCTGCGGCCGGGGACGCGAGGGCCGTCATCACCTGCCGAGTGTCCCTCCTGGACGGGACCGACGTCAGTGTGGACTTGCCGGTACAGTTTGCTGACTTGCACGTTCGTGCTGAGGTCATGTGCTTCTCTGGAGCTGCGGGGAGGGGCGGGGGATCAGGTCACTTGGGCAGGTGGGATCCACGCCTGCCACACAGGTGCATGGATCAGGTGGCCTTCGATAGCTGGAGCGCTGGGACTTCTCTGGAATTAGTGGCACTTAACTGGAACTTTCAGATGTTAGGGCAGTTGCTGGTGTGAGTCGTCTGTGTGTGTGTTTGTGTGTTCTCCATGGTGGCAGTATGCCGTGTACTTCCCGGGGCTTTCTCACAGTCCTTGTTGAGCAGTTATTAAAGCAGTGAGAATCTTTGGGGACGATAATGATACTTACGTGGATACTGTAAGACGTTTAGTTCTCTGTATTTTTTTGTAGTTTTCAAAACACTCCTCACTTTCCTCAAAACAAATACTTCTTGCCCACTTCGGTGTGCTTGTAGACGTTTTAATGGAATGAAGTGAGGAAAAGAACTTTGTTCATACCCCTCAGCTCTGGCTGCCCATCTCTTTGTTCCCAAAGTAGTTTGCAGGGTAGGCTTTCCATACACTGTAATTTCAAGATTGGATGTTGTAATTATATTCACATTTTGGGGAGATTTTTTTTGCAGTTATGAATAATCACAACTCACAGTGTGAAACAATCCAATATATCTGAAAGGAGTTAACTTATTCCTTGCAGGTCTCTTTTTTTGAGGGGAGGGGAGGTAGCTCTATGGGGGCTGTGGAGCTTCTTTCTGAGCTGTTTGCTAATACCAAATCTCCTTCTCATGTCTTTGCCCTGTATTAAAAGGTTTACGTGACTAAGCTGTAAAATGTGCAATTTGAGGTGTCATTGAATGTTCCACAGTGTCTTCCCTCCCTACAGACTCTTTTTAGTGCACACTCATTCACCCAAAATGCAATTAAAGACCCCATAGCGCGAAGCGGTAGCCTGGGTGCTGCAGTGGTGCATGGTCGGATGAGCCGTGGACGGCCTTAGACTCGCAGAGAGATGAAGGGACTGGGTAGTTTGTTTAAACTAATATTCTGATTAACTGAATAATTTAAAATGTACTAGGTATGTACATTTTACGTTTTTAAAATAATAGAATATGATAAAATGAAGACACAGGATATCTTGAAGTGTTTTGAAGTCATCTTTTTGAGTATTTATTATATTTGTACATTAGACTGGGCATTTTCAGGGATTTTGACTTTGAAAGACTTTAATGCATTTAAATTTTCTTCCTGTAAGGGCTTCTTGAGGGTTTGATGTTCCAATATGTGCTCCTTTGTGAGGGTAGTTTTCATGTTCATTTATTTGATAAGTATCTCAAGAGTTCTGTGTACTGTTCCACTGAAATATGCTTAGGTATGTGGTGAAAAGCTTGAGACTGCTGTGTAGGAGAGTAGAAGGAAGTTTCTTATTACCTAATGTTGGAAGTATGAAGTCTCGAGGGTGTTGATGGAGAAGCTGACACCAGGAAAGTAGAATAAATGGCTAGTGACTGGTTTAGAATGCTTCCCCTTGCTTGGTGTGCTCAGTGAGGGCATGTGTGATACTCCATCAGGCCAGAAGCGTTAGCTCGCCTTGCACGCACACGGCTGCAGTGAAAAAGCCAGGAGTTTTACATTTGTCTCTGTGCAGCCAGAGCAGTTGCCTTTTCAGCTCCGCAGGGGAAATCCTCGAGTTAATAAGCTAACTCTGGATGCTTGCGTGGATATAAAATGGGCATTGCCCTCCCAGCTAAACTGCCTGACTAAAGAAAATGGCCAGAAGAATAGTAATTTCTGGGAAGAAAAGTTTTTCTCTCTTCCTTTAATTTTTTTAATACAAACTTATTTATTTATTTATTTATTTTTGGCTGCATTGGGTCTTCGTTGCCGCACATGGGCTTTCTCTAGTTGCAGCGAGCGAGGGCTACTCTTTGTTGCAGTGCACGGGCTTCTCATTGTGGTGGCTTCTCTTGTTGCAGAGCACGGGCTCTAGGCACGTGGGCTCAGTAGTTGTGGCTCACGGGCTCTAAAGCACAGGCTCAGTAGTTGTGGTGCACGGTCTTAGTTGCTCCGCGGCATGTGGGATTTTCCTGGACCCGTGTCCCCTGCATCGGCAGGCGGGCTCTCAGCCACTGCACCACCAGGGAAGCCCCAGGTTTTCCCTTTTTTTGATTTAGCTTCTCAGCCAGTCTAGTATGACTCTGAAAGAAGATTTAGAGTTGACGTTAGAAATTGAATGAAGCACATACTTATTTCCCATTGGGCTTAGCGTCAGTATTGATTGTGGCAAGCAGCCTGGAACTCAGATGATGGTCCAGGCAATATGCAAGGGATTATCTGTAGTTAAGTAGAGAAATCTAGATCTATATACTTCAAATTAATATACACTTAGTAGTAATGGTCATTTTCTTTCTTCCGTTCTCCTTTCCTCTCAAGATTGGGGGAGGAATTTAAATACCCTCTACTTCCTTTTTTTTAAGGAATTAACGTAGTGAGAGTGCCTTTCAGTAAAGGATAAGAGCAAGGCATCAGGTAGAAATTTCTAATTATCTGGTTTTTAAACTTTCTCTTTGGAAATGCCATAGTAACTCCTTCGATTTATGAGCTTAGTATTGTTTAGTAAATAGCCTGTCTTGTAAAACTCTGTGTCTCCTGAGTTTTAAATTAATGGGAAATATTTGATTAACCATTAGATAATAATTTTTATATATCTACTTTGCTGATACAGATGCTGAAATCTTTAAATTATATAGACCATTGTATCTTAAAATAACTGAAAAAACATCCTGTGTTCACGAATTGTAAGACTTAACATTGTTGAGATGGCAGTATACCCAAAACTGATTTACAGATTCAACATAATCCCCACCAGAATGTCAGCTGATTTATTTGTGGAAATTGACAAGCTGATTTTCAAATTCATACGGAATTGCAAGGGATCCAGAATAGCCAAAACAATATTTGAAAAAGAACAAAGTCGTAGGACTCACATTTCCCAGTTTTAAGACTTAACTGTTAAAGCAGTAGTAATCTAGATGGTGTGCTTTGCTGGCGCAAGGACCAATGGAACAGAATAGAGAACCCAGAAATAAACCCACACATCTACGGTCAGTTGATTTTTGACAGGGTGCCAGAGCCATTCGATGAGGGAAAGAATGGTCTTTTCAACAAGTGGTGCTAGAACTGAGTAGCCACATGCAAAAGAATGAAGTTGGACCTTTAACTCCTAAATATACAAAAATTAACTCAAAATGGATCAAAGTCCTAAACATAAGACTATAATACTCTTAGAAGAAAATGCAGGGGTAAATCTTCATGACCTTGGATTTGATACCAGTTTCTTGGATATGACACCAAAAACATGAACAACAAAAGAATAAATAAATTGGACTTAATCAAAATTATAACCTTTGTGCCTCAAAGGACACCATCAAGAGAGTGAAAAGACTCTCACAGAATGAGAGGAAGTATTTGAAAATTATATATCTGATAAGTAACTAGAACATGTGAAAAATTGTTAGAACCCAATAATAAAAAGACAAATAACCCAATTTAAAAATGGGCAAAGGGGCTTCCCTGGTGGCGCAGTGGTTGAGAGTCCGCCTGCCGATGCAGGGGACACGGGTTCGTGCCCCGGTCCAGGAAGATGCAGCGGAGCGGCTGGGCTCGTGAGCCATGGCCGCTGAGCCTGCGCGTCCGGAGTCGGTGCTCCGCAACGGGAGAGGCCACAACAGTGAGAGGCCCGCGTGCCGCAAAAAAAAAAAAAAAAAAAAAAAGGCAAAGGATCTGAATAGACATTCCTCCAAATAGGATACGCAAATGACCAAGAAGCAGATGAAATGCTTGACATCGTTAGTTGTCAGAGAAAGGCAGATAAAAAGCATGAGATACTACTTCACACCAACTAGGAAGGCTAACATAAAAACGCCAGGTAAATACCAAGTGTCGGTGAGCATGTGGAGAAATCGGAACTCTTACATGTTTTAGCAGGAGTGTTAAGGTGGTCCAGCTGCTGCTCTGGAGAACAGTCTGGCAGTTCCTCAAATGATTGAACATAGTTACCATGTGATCTGGCAGTTCCACTTCTAGGTGTATGCTGAAGAGAACTGGAAACACGTTTACACAAAAACTTGTACACAGGTGTCCGTAGCAGCATCATTCTGAATAGCCAGAAGGTAGAAGCAGCCCAGACAGGTAAGTGCCAGCAGATGAATGGATAAACAAAATGTGTTATATCTGTATAATGGAATACTATCAGTACTTGACCATAAAGGAAATGGTACTGATACATGCTACATGGATGAACTTTGAAAACATTATGCTAGGTGAAAGAAGCCAGTCACAAAAGACCATATATTATGTGATTCCATTCGCATGAAAGTCTAGAATACAGAAATCCGAAGGGGAAAAAAAAAGGACATTGGGGGTTGCTTAGGGCAGATGGGTGGGGACCGAGGGGATGGTGTGAAGGGTGGTTGGGGCCGGTAGCTGAAGGATGTGAGGTATCTTTTTTAGGCGATGAAGATTTTCTAAAATTAATTGTGGGGATGGTTGTATATATCTGTGAATACACCTTTGAATTATATACTTTTAATGGGTGAGTGGTGTGGTGTGTGATTTATATCTCAGAGCTGTTTAAGAATGCATGGATTTTTGTATACTTGTGTTTTATTCCACTTAAAGTTTTTTTAGTCGTTAAGAAAGATGATAAAAACGACATATAGCTTTGATTTAAAGGTGATATGCTTGATTCATTACAGGGAAAAAAAGTAAGAGACTACAGTAATAAAGGCACAAGATGATGGGGCTGCACAATAATTGTGGCTGTGAGTTTGCAGTGGAAGAAATGCTTTGTACATGGATATGGGGGTGGAGAATGTAGATTAGAAATGAGTAAAATATAATTCTCGCTCTGGTGTAGAGGCTAATGTTGATTGTGTGGAAGGTCAGGATAGGGTAGTCGGCTGTCATGCGGAGAAGGGGTAAAGGGATGAGGTGGGGAAAAGAGCTTC